GCATGCATTCCTCATACAACACACCTAGTCGGCATATTTCGGACAATATCGACGACAGCCTTCCCAAACAAGGAAAAATGAGTGAAATGCAGACTTTCGTGTTCTCGATTTGACGTCACATTACCCGCTAGAACCATTCCTCTTTAAACTCGGTCGTGGGGCAAGATGGCGGCCGATTTTCCGTGTTTTGACTGGGCACAGAAAATTAAAGATTTGAGCAAATAAAAAGTTTTTGCACAGAAATACTCCAAAAAATAAGCTTATATCATTAAGCGAAAAAAAAGTTTTGGGTTTAGGTGCACTTTAACACAATAGAAACGGCTTTAAACTCCTTCAAATTTTTTTGATTTTGTAGATTTAATTTTTTGTTGAGGATTTCAAGAGCATTGCAATTTAATCATGTTGACCTGCTGGACCAATAGAGACATCCCTATGATTTGTTCAGTAACAGTAATTTTAAAATAAAGACAAACAAACGAAACAAAGGATTGATAATTATGATAGTTATGAAAATACTAATAAAAATAATGGGAATTTTACAGGGCCATCTTACGAGTTCACTCTATCTGACTCCCTCTCTCAGCTTTGAAAGATGTACACTGAAAGTCCTCCAAAGATAGCTCATTTCGTGGCATAAGAAATTATAACCGCCTTGTCTAAATTTACCTGCAGGTAGGCTGGGAAAATGGACTGTTCTAAGAGCTATGGAAAAGTAGGTATTGAAATTTTCCATGTCTTTCTGATCTCCTTCCACCGAATATGATATTAGGACGGGACGAATAAATGGAGGTCCTGTCTCCTGCATGGTTAGGGGCAGGAGACGTTAATTTCCCACACACGAGATTGCTGTGTCATGGATGTCCTCCTCTGGGGTGGGTTGGGAGGGTAACAGCACCCCGTTGAAACCAGTGTTTACTACACTGAAGGGGCTATCCTGTATAAATATAGATGTCTACTCTACTTCCAATTACGACTTTTTGAGAACGCCCGCGTATGTAGAACTCAAACCATTGAAGCATTTTACCCGGGAAGCCAAATTTGGCTCAATCTGGTAATAAGTATGTCATGATTGGAAGTTTCGAAGGCAGATGACAAGTCCAGTAAAACGAGGATTACTTTTTTCTTCTGGTCAAGTGTGAAAATTTGGTAATGAAAATCAAGAATTAGAAAGGTGCACACATGTAGCGTTCTATGGAAAAAATAACTCTACTTTAAGGGAAATGTAAACTTATGATAAAATATATTTATTAGTACATGGCAGGTATCGTTTTCCTATTGAGCCCGCGTGCAAATATATATATATATATATATAACTAACTGCAGACAGTACCGTTTCGGCCTTCTGGGCCTCATCAGTGCAGTGCTAATGCTAGGATGGAGGAGAACCAATATGGTCACCCCAAACGATCCAACCTTTGTGGTATCGTCTAAGCCTATATATATATATCTGTATATAAGCGCGCATGCGTGTGTAAAATATTGTCAGCAAACTATGAAGTTGGGTAATCTCGTTCCCAGAGGTCTACCAACAGTATCACTGAGCGGGACTGCATGCTCTTAACAATGATAATGTTCTCAGATCTCTGGGAGCGAGATTAAAAGTTGGGTCGAAGGAAATCTGTGTTTTCTTTTTGCTTTTTTTTTTCTCTCTGCGCTAAAGAGGATAACTCACAAGAAAAAATTAGAGATTAAAAGCTGGGTCGAAGGAAATCTGTGTTTCCTTTTTGCTTTTTTTTTCTCTCTGCGCTAAAAAGGATAACTCACAAGAAATACTTAGAGATTAAAAGTTGGGTCGAAGGAAATGTGTGTTTTCTTTTTGCCTTTTTTTCCCTCTGCGCTAAAAAGGATAACTCACAAGAAATACTTAGACAGAGGAGAAATAATCCAACCGAGAAACCGTAGATAATCAAAGCAATGAACACGTTCTTTGGGTTGGCATTTTTTGTCTCGCAAACGGAAACAACGTGCAAGTAAACAGGTGATCGGCCTTCATTATATAAAAAGAAGGCAAATGGTATCAGAATGGTGGTCGGTAGGCAGTAGATGGACAAAAAATCGGTCTCTTGAAACCTTCAAAGGTGAGCGATTCCGTTTTTAAGTTGTTTAAATTTCTGTGAAGCTGCCAGGTACTTTTTTTAAAACGAAAAACATAATTCGGAGTCGATTGACCGACAGAATGATTTTCTTTCAGCGAAAACGCCATGAATGAAACTTTCCCTGTATCCTTGATCAGTCAAAGAAAATAGCAATTTAAAAAGGTTACTTGTATTTCCAGGACTAGTGTTTGCGGCTCGAGGAACTCAGTCTTACCCTTCTCTCCTGCGTATATAACTCGATGTACGCCCACTAAGCATCATCACCAATTCTTAAAAATACTGAATGTTCTAGTGTAGTTTTAAGTGTAAAACAGTTGTTAAAATCCGCATGAGCATCTTAGAGCATCTCTTCAACGCGACGTCCAACTCATTTTGAAACCTTGTTTTACATATCACTTATAAGCTCACTCGTTTATAAGCCGACCCCAAAACCCTTACAAAATCGTATAAGCCTAGGGCTTATAACTGGGACTCTACGGTATGCCAACTCTGGGAAACTTTTGGGTAAAAAAATGACGTTGATCACCTTCTGTGTATACTGAACCCTTGACCGGTGTGCCTACATACTTCACTGCCTGTAACTGTCTTTTGATTGATGTTACTCCCCGTAAGCTTCAGCCGGGGTGTGTGTAAGTAAAATGCGATTGTTCTAGGTGTGTGGATGGGGAGGGATGAGGTTGTACGTAATTTCTGACGGTTTAGGGATGGGTAATAACCAACTTCTCCTCTTAGGAGTTGGGCTATTGCCTAAATTTTATCTCCAGAACGGTTGGTTCTTTTGGATTCCCTCCCTGGTAACTATAACGTTAGTACATACCACGTCATTCTTTGGAGCGTCCTCTCTGCTAACATCAGAGTTGCCGATGTCTTGCGCTTAGGTGGGAGTTAATTTGTACGTAGAATATAAGGAAATATTCCTTTTCGTATCAAACAGTGACACAAAATAGGCCTTATTGGGATCTTCTAGAGGTTTCTGTTGAATTTCTAAGGATATGAATTACGGACGCCTCTAGGCTTCCAGGGAGGCCTTCAAGACGCTTGCCCTCAACGAAAAATGGCGGCGGTGTTTGTTTTTTGCCCCAAAACATTCCGTGGACTCTCAGCCAGTCACTTCGGTGTCTCTCCAAAGAAGCGAGAATAAACTGAATAATAAAAGACAAGTAAGACCAGCATCTAGAATACAGCTGTAATAACTCATTCGTTTTCATGAATACTTTCGTTACGACATGTTGTTACGTCATCAATTCTAAAGTGATAAAAAATCACAAGCCCCCATCGAGTTTTTATGTTCACCGCCTTTAAGATGTCTTCAATATATGTGTGCCTATAAGTTTTCAGCTAACAGCCATACCTAATTGTAGACCAATCCCTACCCAAACGCAAGGGGGGTGGTCTACATCCAGAGGCTTTAGGTATGAACCGGTACACAAATTTTTTACGGAAATATCTGAAGATGTCATCCATTATATCTGAAGGACGAAAACTCGCGTTTTGTCTGGCCTAGCGAAGTGTGTGACTGGCGTACAGACGTCACGGTGTTTTTGAGACGCACAGCCAAATAGAATCTGCTTAAATACAAACCGTAATCGACCGTCAATGCTACCAGACACGTCAAAAGAGTAAAGAGCAACAAGAAAAGACCAGTGCGTAGAGGATGTAAAATATCTCATTTGATTTGAAACTAAAATGTACTAATTTAGTAGTGCCCAGGCTTCGGTTACAGTAACTTATATTTTAATTTCCTGTATTTTTTTTCCAATTGTCCAAAAATTGGAAGTAATAGCCTTGAAATTACGAATATTGAGCCAGCCTTCAGAAAATGAAAACAAAGGGTTCCTAGTTTTTGATAATAAAGTAGCCTTGACAGCTTATGGGATTTACATGTGACCTGAATTCCAAAATGACGACATTTGCAAAACATATTTAGTTCCCCGAAGTTTTGAGCTCCAAAGTAATTTTTTAAAGGTGCATTGTTACTTTAAACATTGATAGACTACCACCGTTGAATCGTTGAATATGTAAGGAGTGGAAGGTTCACTTTTGGAAGCGGTTTGGTACATTTTACTGCAAATATTCATTCCCTAATCCATTGTGATTTGTGTAAGCTCAATTTCAATATCTCTAAAATCACATAATCATAACAATCAACTTTTATTAAAACCATTGTTTTTCTTGATGTATTTTTCCCCCTAGTTTTACCAGAATTTTCACTTGAAGATGGTGAAGATGTAACCGAAGACACTAAAAGTACGAGCAAAAGAAAACCCGCACCTTTATTATTTTCACCGTGTTGATGGTAGAGATCAGTTTGAAAAGGCACCGAACCAAATTCTATTTTAGTTATGATAATAAAAGTCTCAAATTGACTACCGTTAAATATTTAGAACCCTGTTCAATACTTTGGTATTTTCTTTTACATGTGGTAATGATATCATGTTCCACGCGAAGTTGTATTTGTTCTATGAACGCAACAAAGGTAAAAATGCTATTAAAAATAAGCAACTCCATGGCAATTTCTCAGCTTAGATAGATGTGTTTTCGTCTTTTAGCAAGGAATTTTTTCAATCAAAGATTGTTCTGCATCAGTAAGATGAATATGCAAAGAACTCAACCTCTCCATCCAACAAAAGGGGAACTGCCTATGCAGTATGGCTGTTTTGAAAGTACAACTGGCGGTCAAACAACATTTCATTTAATATTTTATTTCTATGGTTTTTTCTTCGACAAGTAAAAAGAACATATTTTCATACTGATTTTTGATGGACTAGTAATTAGATTAGATTAACTGTCCAAACTGTTATCGTTTCTGATAATTATGTTTTTTTTCTATATTTCAGTAACATCAAGTTTTACTTACCGGAATCTCTTCTGGAAGATGTAGCAGGAGCCACTAAGACTGCGATAAACACGAAAGGCCAAACCTTTACCATCAACATCGTGCAAGCTTTGAAAGTCAGTTTCAAATGCTGTGAACAAGCTAAAGTGCGTTTTGCTTATGCCATTAAGTGTAGCATAACATGGCCATATTTGGAGCTTTCGTCATTGCTTTGGAATTTTCCTTTAGGTTTTCCCACAAGCTGTCTTTGTTGTTGTTAAAACAGCTCGAGGTAGAATTGTTTTGAAGAAAGAGCAAGGCTTTAAGAAAGTAAAAATTTCATATCTCGCAAAAAAAGATATGGCTTTTCAGTAGCAATGATTACGGGTCTAAAATGATGAATAAAGTAATTTAAAATGATGAATAAAGTAATTTAAAATGATGAATAAAGTAATTTAACTAAAAAAGAAGAAAACGATAAACTAACGATAGCACCGACAGACTACACCGTGCACAACTGTTTCTTAAAAATATTTACGAATTCCTACATCCCGTACAACTTGCCAGAGGTTTTAACTGAAGGTGCATCAGTAGCTACTAAAACTGCGCTAGCAGAAAAAACTAAAACTTCGTCATCAACGTTATACCAGCCTTGAAACCCAAACTGAAATAAAGTAAGCTTGTCCTGCTCACTCTAAATAAATTGCTTAAATAGTTTATCAACTATCCTCACAATATGAGAAAAAGGTAGAGATGATGCG